GAAGTCCACCGTGTTTCAAGTCCAGAGTTTTACTTCCCAGAACATAATAACATGGACGTTGCTGGGTTTTAAACTGAATTTTTGCTGATATAGAGCGTTTGGTTATATCCAAACATGGAGCTGATCATCYAAATGAGATTTGAACTACATTTGAATATTTGTACAAGCTGGTGCAGATCATATTTATTAAATCCTTGTTTGTAAAACCGTTCAGCTTAAAGAGGGTGGATGTTCCCTTCCCTGTGACTGGAACTCATATCAAGAAGTCTAATGTTTTMTTCCACAGCATATTTGTTCTTAAAGGGAACTCTGACCAGCTGTAACATTAAACATTAATYATTAAACATTAACTTCAACTAGAAAAAACAGACTGTAGAAATACTGTCAACTGTTGGGATTTTACTATCAAAATATATACACTGTATATATACAGTATATTGTCATACAAGTGTCACCATGTTATTTACACTGCAAAGCATTCTGGATTAATGATAGTTATTATTTAAATAATTATCACCCAAGCTAATGAATATAGCATTTGAGCTCCATWTATGCTGTTAGCTCSAGAGCTAATTTACTCAATATCATGTTTGAATGTTTCAAACAGGTTTCAAYACATACATTGTGAAGAACATAGAAACTAAAACAAAAATAACTTTGTCAYACATTATAGCTTTTTACATTTTGTATTTAAGTCTCAACTGCAGCCTGTTTTACWTCATCGCTCTCAGAATGCATTGCATCAATAAAAAAAGTCAACCTGCTTAAATGAAAAATGTAATAAACATTAAAACACACTTTTAGGTAATTAGGAGTTTTCACGTGTCCCAAACAATTTTTAGTAGAACAAACAATAACAACATATTAAGGCCAACATGTGACAGAAGTCAGAAATTACTAAGATGTATTTTAAGGAAACCTTATAATTTATGATCAACAGACAGATAAGAGATGAAACAGGAGTTTTATTCAAACCTGACTAAAATATTTAATGTTTGTGTAAAAACACATGCTGGTTAGCTTGTATCTGCTCCAACACATGAGTCGAGGCGTGTGTGAATGTAGGGAAATGTGAGGATTTAGCCTGAAACAGAGGGAGGAGGAGGGGTTTGGACTCACGGAGGCTGGAGGCGTAGGCTGCAGAGTTGATCYTCAGTCCGGTGCAACAGATGATCAGATCGGTGGTCAGCGTTTCTCCTTTATCCGTCTTCACCTGGGTGTTCTTCTGGGTCACATTCAGCTGCAGCTCTGACAAGTTACACACTTTCTGTCCTGAAACACACGGAAACAGGAGTTTTATAAAACACTGACAGGGTTTCTGAAGTAACCAACCATTCAAATTTAATGCTTTTTATTGGATTTTTAAAATATTTTTAGTGCCTTCACCAGTGAACACAAACTTTACAAGTTTAAAAATATTAAAGGCCAATGAGGTTCAAATTTAAGGCCTTGACTTTAGATAAATCCATTCAGGGACTTTTAATGGCCACAGAAACCCTGACAGGACTCACCTGYRCAGTGGTGGGACAGCTAACCAAAAGGTTAAACCCAAATTAATTTTAAAAACATTAAAACACTAACCAGGTAAGACAATTAGTAGACGCTAACGCTAACTGATATCGGACATTTAAATATAGATATGTGATAAAAACTGCTTAAACTAAATAACTACACCTCCCAAAGTGATTTTCTCAATCTAAAATCACTCTTTCTGACCAGATTATAAGGATCTGAGTGGACAAAAGTGACCATCACTCAATCTGTTTCACACATCTTCTGCTCCTTCCAGCTGAAGACCAACACATTTGGAAAAACAAAATGCTAAATATGCTAAATAACATAAAGAAAAGTACTCTGGATTTGAAAAATCAGGATGCTGATCTAATTTCAAATGGCTCTAATTCAGCTGTGAAACATTAAGCTGAAATTATGTGATCATAGCCAAAACTGATACAAAAAACATGCTGAATGTCAGTCATGATTTCAAACTAACACTAATGCTAATTTATGAAGAGCTATATTTCAGATGTTTTTAGCAGCAGTGGTCAAAAACAATCTTTACCAAATTCTCAATGCAAATCAAAACTCAAAACAGCCACTACAGCTAATTTCAAATGAACACATTTTAGAGCTACGGAGCTGAAATTTGGTAAAAWGAAAGCTGAGAGTGATCCCTAATAAACGCTGATGACCACCAAAACTAAATTCAAATGGCTATAGTAGAGTGGGAGCTGCAGTCACCATGATTTAAAATGGTGGCCATTTGGCATCAAAGTTTCTCAAACCTTTCTAGTTGCTCCATGTYATTGYTATGTTACAGACTGACCTCTACTTGTCACCCAGTTTTCAACAACTGGTTCTTAAASCCAGAACYATTACACCATTGTTATTTTATAATGATTCAGTACTTCAGACAACCTACTTTATTGTTCTTCATCTCACAGAAAGGTTCMRTTTTCACCAGATAATTCATTTGGTTGACAGATATTTACTCGTTTTTTGCTCTTACTGCCCAAGTTTGAAACACCACATGTGATCCCCACAACACTTGTCCATCATTTGGAGGTGGCTCCGCCCCTGAAGSAGCAAGGTGCAGGCGTACAGCACCGCATGTGTGAAGGGATAGCCATCTGTGTTTTTGTTAGCGAACAAGAAGTTAGCTTAAATAGATTTAGTAGAAGCTAACTGGTCTGCTAACAGTTTCCAAAGTTAGCGAAAATGCTAATCCGCTAAATGAAACGTTAGATTCGGTGATAGTGGAACCAGGTCCATCACTTCTGTCAACGTATACAAACAGGTTCTCCGTACCCAGGAGCAGCTCCACTCCTTTCTCCAGCAGAACCTCTTTGGCCTGCTGCCTGACGCTGGGCAGCAGCTCCGTGTCGACCAGCACCGTCCTGGAGTGGATCAGAACCACCTGGATGGAAATAAAATATTATAATTTAAAAGCAAATGAACTACAGAAACATGGACATGAGGGTTTTCTGAGAAGAGAAACATCAGGAGAGTTTCTGTAGCTGTCAAACAGCAGCAGGGGTCAGACAGGTCAGACCAGGTCAGACAGGTCAGACCAGGTCAGACCAGGTCAGGTCAGGTCAGGTCAGACCAGACCAGACCAGACAGGTCAGACCAGGTCAGGTCAGGTCAGACAGGTCAGACCAGGTCAGATCAGACCAGACAGGTCAGGTCAGGTCAGGTCAGGTCAGGTCAGGTAGGTCAGGTCAGGTCAGGTCAGGTCAGACCAGACAGGTCAGGTCAGGTCAGGTCAGGTCAGGTCAGACAGGTCAGGTCAGGTCAGGTCAGTCAGGTCAGGTCAGGTCAGGTCAAGTCAGACAAGACCAGTCAGGACAGGTCAGGTCAGGTCGGTCAGATCAGGTCAGGTCAGGTCAGGTCAGGTCTAACAGGCCAGGTCAGGTCAGATCAGGTCAGACAGCTCAGGTCAGGTCAGGTCAGGTCAGGTCAGGTCAGGTCAGACAGGTCAGGTCAGGTCAGGTCAGGTCAAGTCAGACAAGACCAGTCAGGTCAGGTCAGGTCAGACCAGACAGGTCAGGTCAGGTCGGTCAGATCAGTTCAGGTCAGGTCAGGTCAGGTCAGGTCAGGTCAGGTCTAACAGGCCAGGTCAGGTCAGATCAGGTCAGACAGCTCAGGTCAGGTCAGGTCAGGTCAGGTCAGACAGGTCAGGTCAGGTCAAGTCAGGTCAGGTCAGACAGCTCAGGTCAGATCAGGTCAGGTCAGGTCAGATGAGGTCAGGTCAGATCAGGTCAGACAGGTCAGGTCAGGTCAAGTCAGGTCAGGTCAGGTCAGACAGCTCAGGTCAGATCAGGTCAGACAGGTCAGGTCAGGTCAGACAGATCAGATCAGGTCAGATCAGGTCAGACAGGTCAGGTCAGATCAGGTCAGACAGGTCAGGTCAGGTCAGGTCAAGTCAGGTCAGGTCAGGTCAGACAGCTCAGGTCAGA